TTATAATGGCTCTGGGAGTGATTAAAAGAATATACTGTTTAATGTGTTTAATGTTTCTGGAGGCAAATTTCTAGTGTTTTTCGGTGGGCTACTAAAAGGATATTGCTTATCGCACGCAATAAAAATATCAGCAAAGGTGGTTGTGCTGGTTTGAATATGCTTGACCCAGGGAGTGGCGCTATTAGGATGTGTGGCCTTGTTAGAGTAGGTGTGGCCTTGTTGGAGGAAGTCTGTCATTGTGAGCGTGGCCTTTAAGACTCTCATCCTAGCTCCCTGAAAGCCAGTCTTCATCTGTTTGCCTTTGGAACAAGATGTAGAACTCTCAGCTATTCCTATCCTATGCATGACTGGATACTGCCTTGCTCCTACCTTGATGATAATCGACTGAACCTCTGAACCTGTAAGCCAGCCCCAATTCAATGTTGTCCTTATAAGAGTTACCTTGGTCATGGTGTTTATTCACAGCAGTAAAACTATAACTGAGACAGTGGTATAAGGTGGAAGAATGAAGGTGTAATCTCTTCCTAGTTTACAGGTCATACTTGGAATGCGTTAGCTGAAGGCATAACAGATTCTGAGCAAAGATCCTAAATACCAGGGCAACTCAATTTATTATCTCCCCACATCTTAATCTAGGAACACTGGATCACATATTTAAGTAAATGTGTTTTAAAGCAAAGGGAGACTATTTGATGCTTTTGAGAATTTTTCACTCCTAGGTTGTAATTGACACTAATTCCTAAAAATTGAATGAACCACCATGTCTGCCCATTAATGTTGAAGCAATAGAGGGTATTCTAACCATAGCTAAAGACTGGTTCTTGGTGGGCCATTGCTTAGAGAGCTATTCCTTAGAGAAACCTACTGATCCATTGTCTCCTCTCCAAATACAAAATTAGAAAGGATACCCTTAGAGGTTTGAAGAAACCTCACATTGATTCTTTGACCTTAGGTAAGAATTCTTACTGTAGACAGTAACAAGCCTAAACTCTGAAACTGTTCCTATCCCCAGAAAAAAAAAAAAAAAAGAGTGGTACAGAGAGGGAAAATAAAATGCTGAAATATTTTAATATTGCCCCAACTCCTATGTAGCTTTATTTATTTTATATGTTGGTTCTTGCAACAATAATGGCAAGAAATTATAGTCTAACACTAGAATTGGTCTCTGCCAGAGTAGCGATTGGGATATTCGCTCTATCTTTGAACAAGAGAACAAGACAAAAATCTCCTTTCTTATCGGATGGACACCCAGTTTGTTTATTCTCTTGCCTCTAGGATATTTGCATTGTTATAACTCTTGTCAGAATATAGTCTGAGGAGTGCTGGGCAGTGGTGGGGCATGCCTTTAATCCAAGCACTTGGGGGGGCAGAGGCAGGCGGATTTCTGAGTTCGAGGCCAGCCTGGTCTACAGAGTGAGTTCTAGGACAGCCAGGGATACACAGAGAAACCATGTCATGAAAAAAGAATATAGCCTGAGGAGACCTGAATTTTGTGGGCATTCTGTACTATACAATAATGTCATATGACAGGACATGGTAAGAAATATGGGTCAATTTTGCTTATGCAGGAAATCTTCATAAGCACTTACACAACATACGATAGAGATTATCTAATTAATGTTATAAAAATTGTGGACACCTTTGCTACCACACAGGATAGAGTGGATATACTTTTCCTCTTCCACCCAGCAAATTCTCTTGACCCCACAGATATACAACAAATATAAGAGAGCCTTCCACAGTTTAGGAATGAAGGTAGATGGACTAGAGGAATCTCAGGTTTCAAAGAATGATACAGCAGTGTGGGGGCAGTGTGGGGGTTGGAGGGGCAGGTTTTGTTTGGTTATTTGTTTTACTACATATTCTTTATTGGAAACTCCAGAAATCACCAGATGCTATCAGGTTTCACATAGTTCATATTTGGACACATGGCTGAGATACCTACCTACTGTGTTTGAGAAACTGCAGCCATGAAGCTGGTAAGGGCTTAGGGCAGATCCAGAGGATATCTGGAGGATCAACAAACAAGCTTCGTTTACATCATTTATAATCTGATCTTATCATCATCTCCCATGCAAACCATAATCAATGGTGATATTACGTTAGCTTTCTAGAAATACTCTCACTCTGAGTTGCTCAGTCAGCAGCAGTAGATCATTTTCATCAACTTTACAACCTAGAAATCAGTCAGCCACTGTAGAAACTGGAAATGCCACCAATCAAAGTGGAATAGTCTTGTTTAATTAACTAAGATGAATTCTTGTCATGTTAAATTTAAATCATTAAAAGTCTGACACATATGCAATTTTATCAAGGTTTTTATTTCTTTTATTGATCGCTGCATGTCTTAAATGGCAGATAACTCAGTTTGCAGGAAAATGACAGCACTGTGAGGCTGAGATGTGTTTAAATTAAGAAATGTTGAAACCCGTGGAAAGTAAACATAAAATGAAAGAAAACAACACAATCTCTGGCTTCTGTAAGACACGAGTGTGGTGCACTGGCTAAGGAGTGAAGAGGAGATGGACTTCTCTTTGCATCTGTCTCTCAAAACTTCCTCAATGAATATTTCTTATTCCAAGAACACTCTGAGTACATTCTGTATTCAGTTGGTGGGTATCGCAATAAAGGTTTGAAGTTCTTGTAGACCGAAGGTGAGAGCCATCTTCACCGATTCTGCTTGTTTGATGATTCTCCTAGAAGATCCCAGTCCCCCAAGGAACGTTCATAATATGGGCCAAGGGTGAACTCCCAGAGGCTGGATAAATGCACTACGAGTGCACCATAATTCTTTGCTACCCATGACACAAGTGCAGAATTCAGCTTTTATGGCACATGATGCCAGGATCACATAGAATCCTAGAGTATCTTTATTTGTTCTATAACTTAATAGTATACCTATAAAATAATTACATTATACTTATAGCTTTTCTTCATTTATAAACAAGACACAACTTAAATACAATTTGAGCCATACGAAGGTAAACTTTATACATACAATAAGCCAAGAAGTAGCCTCAGACCACAGCGTATCATATAGCCTTCATGGGTATACCCACAATTGGGATCAAAACATAATGCTTACATATATACTTTGTGAGTTCCTAGCTTACCTTTTCCCATTAATGTGTGGGGCCCATTAATAGAATGACAGGGGCTGGCTTTGCAGCGGGGTGTGAAAATCTCCTTCTCACCCTCTGGTTACCTGTCACTATCCTCCATTAATGACATTCATATCTCCTTCACAGCTCCTCTGCTGCGTGTTCTGCTCTGGGTCTAGCTTGAGATTTCCTGCTAAAAGTGAAAACTGTAGTTCTGACCTCAGGCACCCTCGTCACTTTTTACCTTCATCCCTGGGGTTTCCAGCCCTCTGCAATTTTTCCATTTCCCTTTGTTTCTCTCTCCTGATTCCAGGCTGTGCACTCTCATTTCAGAAGCTAATACCCACTTCAAAACCATACAGCCTATACTCTTGGTTACTGTGTGGCAGAATTAACTAAACTAGAAAACTTATATTGCAATACAGGCAAAATAATCCATGGCACACCCTCCCCAGCTCATCCCAACCCTCCTTCCCCAAGTAGCAGACTGGCGAGCCAGCATCATTGGTGACTCTCCAGAAGCCTGAGTCTCAGAGCAGCTTATGGAGGGTCTCTCCCACATACTAGGAAACCCATTCTTGGCAAGAGCATGGACTCAGAAATTATCACCCCAGGATTGTTAGCCCATTCTCATTCCCACCAACGGCTTATCATTCACATTTGTCAGACGATTCCATACCTGCCATTCACAGGGAGGCCTCCCTAGGACAATTGCACAAAGAGGTTGAACTTGAGTGTAATTTTGAAGGAAAATAAATTATTTTAAAGTCCTCCTGTCAAAAGCCCACACTACAGAGACTTCAACAACTCATCAGCAAAGCTGAAGATGACCGAAGTGTTTCTTGGTATTTTTAGGAGTCTATTCTCTGTAAAGAAAACTATCCTCTGAGTGACAGTTCACCTACATTACTACCCTCTATATTTGCTCTATATTTCTGCCTGTGTCACAAAGTGTCTCAATACCATATATTCTTACATATCTTTTACTAGAAAATAGTTTTTTGCTTAGTGTAATAGCAGTGGAAACAGTACCAGGTCTCATCTGACATGTGCCTGTCAAGATTTACAACTTTCTAGTGACTCCTCTGTCCCCACCATCTGTCCCCATCCTATTTCTACACTAGGCCTAGATGCTTTAGTCTCTCCTGTGATGTCATATTAAAAGTAAAATCATGAGGTGTCCCCCCTCCCTGCTCAATCTGGGGAAAAAGTGTGTGTGGGGGGGTGGGGAGGGTGGGCAGTGAATTGCTGACCTGGCAGTTTTTTCTCTGTAAAATACTTTTCTCTATTCAGAATGGTGCTGCAAAGCTAGAGTCCAAACATGTGACTTGATATATGAATATGTTGATAATACTTTTAACTGTTTTTAACATGATAGGTCAATTATAAAACTGACATTAATACAGAGACCTCGTGAGTGATATCATGGCAGCGGGAATAGCATGTGCACCAGAGTTTATCTTGAGTTACAGATAGGGCCTATTAGAAGAAAGAAGGAGGTGGTGGTGTTCAGAGGTCTGGAGAGTCTTGCTTCCTCAGTTCCTGGAGATGTCCATTTCTTGATCCACTTAGTTTGGCTTGTCCTCGTGGCTACCAGGTTTGTTCCAGAACCCCTTGCAGGTGAGCATCTTCTTTATAGATGCTGCACACATCGGCCTCGCAGCAGCGGCAGGCAGGGGTGGGCAGCTCCCAGGTCAGAAGAATGAATGCCCATACCACAGAGGTCCGGTGACCAACAAAAGTTTGCGACAGAAGAGTCATGCATCCTTCATCAGAGGAAGAGTCAAGATGGAGTGTAGGATGTGGCCAGGGAAAGACTGGCTTTTCCACATGGTGGAATCGTCAATCCCGGATGACAGTGCATCTCCTGAAAAGTCCTGTCGAGTTTCTGGGAGTGGAGTTTTCTAACATCTTTTGTGTCCGACCCACAAAGTGGATATAGAGACACAGGTGTAGCCTGGGATAGATCTGGGACAGTCAACAAAGCTTCACTTGTGATCCTCATTTGTGACAAGGACACTGTTAGCCCTAAGAGATGCATTTGCTGCTGACTGGGACACTGGGCAGAGTGTGAGTGAGCTCAACAGAAGTGGCGGTGGTGCAACCCAGGGGTAAGGGTGCTCAAGGCTGAGCTGCATCCTGCCCCGGTGAGTTCACTGCTTGTCGGAGTCACTCAGGTTCACGGACATGCACCGGCAATGCTTCACCTTCTGGATTTTCTTGATTCGGAAAGGTGGGTCGAGACCCGGGCATTCAAGCTCCACGATGACAGAGGTGACACGCTGGGGCTTGCAAAAGGCGCAGGATTGGAAGGAGTCCTCTTCTTTCTTCACGTGTCGTGGGATGTAGAAGGAATTGCACTGGCCATAGCAGAAGCGATTGAGGATGGTACGGCTACGGCAACCCTCCTCACTCACCGTCTGCCGCAGCGGTTGCGTCTTGCACCAGTCACTCTTGAGGTACTTGCGCTCTGTGACCACCAGGGCCTCCTGGCTAGAGGCCAGCACCTCCTTGATCTGGTGGTGCCATCTCTCTGAGTTGTTGCTGCTACCATCCTTGTAAGGTGAGGGGATGGCGCCCGCGGGACGGTTCTTCCGTGTTTCAGCTACTTTTACCAGCACAGCCACCAGGAGCAAGGTCAGCGAGAGCTTCCAGAACATCCTGCAATGAGAAAAGAGCCGATCAGGAAGGGTTATCTGGTCAATATCCATCTTTTTCTCTTAGTGTTTATGGCTGGATATCCAGAAACTAAATAGTACAACAGAACGCAGAAGTGACCACACTACACAGTACCCTATAACCAGTATGTTTTACAGTAATGGGAGAAAGTCGTGCTGTGATTTGAATGAGCAGTGTCCCTTATAGCTCATGCTGTTTAAACATTCATAGGTCTCAGTGGGTGAGTCACTGGCATAGGTAGTTGGTGCTACTTCCTGTCTGTTCTTCCCACCTGTATTCCTGCCACCATATCTCCCTTGAAGAGTCAGGCTCTATCCCTTTACACTGTACGCCAAAATAAACCCTCACTTAAGACATAGCTAAGTCAGATATCTTGTCCCAATGACAACAAAAAAGACAATTGTTATAGAAGTAAAGTTGAACAATTTCAGAGAAAAAGAAAAGACCAATAATAATAGCCCAAAGCGAATGTACGTTATTAGCAACAATAGCACCCAGGATATACTCTACAGGGGTGCACAGTGTAGGTTAATGCTGGCTTAATTGAGTCTCTCCACAGCTCATTTGTCTCAAGACAGCCTTAGGTTCTAGCCACTGTCCATTTCCCTACTTACTTCACAGCGAAGTAAACTGAGACCCACAGAGGTTGAGTCCTTCATCCCAGATTTCATTCGTCAAACTCTAATCTCATCCTGCAATTTAGTATTAGAATAGCTACAATTTATTGGTTCTTAAGATGTATCAAAAGGTTTTTTGTTTCCTTTCATATATAAATGCAATTAATAATCTGAGATGCTTAGACTGGGTATGACTGCCTTCCCAACTAAGGAATGGGAAAACAGGCTTGGGAAAGCTATGCAACTTGCCCAAATCACAAAGCCTGTATATGAAGTATTTGAATCCTGGCTTCCTGGTTCTGTTATATTGACTTCCATGAATGTAGCTAGCTCTTTCTTAAAATGCTGTTACAATGTCTATGCTGAATCACGTGTTTCAAGCCCAGGTGTAAGCGACAAGTAGCTTTGTACCTCATCTCAAAAATGACATCTTCTGTCCTCAACTACATCTGAGAACTGAACTTAGAGCCAACACTATCAGAGGCTTTCTTAACACCAACATTTTCCTGTTACTGTTGTGCTGTCAAATGTCCTCCAAACTCCATATGAGTTCCCTTGGCTCCATTGACTAACGGGGAGAAACATTAGAGAGCTGAGAAAGAGAGAAAGGATTTGTTTTTTTCCTGTTACTATAAAAACATTTGTCTACCACAATTACTAAATTTTAAGTCCAAGTTTCTTTTAAGGGCTTTTCTCATGCTTCCCTGGTTCCCCACATGAAGTAGCATATGATAACAGCATATGATAACATCTACCAGACCCATGGCAAGAGTTGAGACTTGGACTCGTTCGGCATATTGCATCTGTAGAGTGATTTCTGATCTCAATCACCTCTTAAAAGGAGAGTCTTTTGGTTCTACTTTAATAATTTCCAAAATTATTAACACTCTAAGTAAACAAAACCAAAAGTCTTCAAGTCTCAGCCAGGAAAGATTTATGATCAGCCCTGTTCTCAGTTCCTAGCTCCAACAACAGCTTATCATGGACTCTTGTTTCGGCTCAAAGTTCAGGCTTCTCCTTCAGCAGCTTCTCACTGTTGTCAGGGGAAGGGAGCTAAAACATGCTCAAGTCGACTTGGGGCAGAAACTCTTCGTGTGAACAGTATTCAAAGTGGTGATTAGTAACAGGCGTTCTTTGAACACTTTAAAATGGCATGCGAACATCTGGCATCCATGCCTGGAAGCGCTGTCTCCCAGGAACTGAGGAAGTAGAACAAACTTCCAACTTTTAGGAAAGGGAAAGATACTGATGAAATCTGCATAACTGGGGACAAGTCTGGCTCTCCTCCCCATCCCAACTCTCTCACACACATTATTCACATGTGGCAACAAGAAACTGGAGGAGGACATGGCATCTTAGTGCCAGAACAGGTAGGCCAGTTACTTACCTGTTTTGCTACAATGACTTGTTGGGGGAGGTATTCTTATTACTTTAGGGACAGTTAAGCCTGCTGCTGCTGGCACCTACTCTGCTGGCCTTTGCTCCTGTAAGGGTCATAGGAGGTGAAAAGGTGCAAACCCATTCTTCAGTTTATCATCCATCTCACACACATCAGTGGGCTGACTGGGACCTGAGTTTAGCATTTCAGTGCTGTCTTGAACCTCTTGGCTATTCAGAGAAGTGGCTGGCATATAACTACCTCTCAGGAATGCTGTTCCGACTGCCAGTAAGGACAGCACGAGGATACTTCATTTTACCCTCACATCTTGTGTTTGGCTTGTATCAAAGAAACTCATAAATAACTCCTGTTGGTTTTATTAACTATCCTTCTGGCCTGACAGTGTTGTCAATTTGCAAAGTGTGCCAGGACCATAAATGCTGATGGCCTAAGCAGACTAGATTGGCCAAAGTTGATTGTATAAAGAGAGAGCTGGTTGTAGAAGTATTTCCCCTAAGTGAACGCCCTTGGACCTGACCTTGGAAGCCAGAGCAGCCTACCACCTAGGCAGCCAAGTAATAATTCCCTCCTATCAGCTCTTAATAGAATGGTGAAGACTGAAGAGAAGCTTCTACCACAGAACACTTTTAATTTCTAGAAACTTTATGGACTTGCTGAGTTTTTAGGCATATGCAGACGTGCAAAAGTCAAGGATGCAGTGAAGCTGGGGACCTCACCATCAGAGTGACCTTAATGGATTTTAGACATCATGGCAAGGCAGTACTGGACTGTGTAGGTAGGAGTAGGGAATAGAATGGGAACAGAGCATTTTCTGTATCCTAAGAATTCCAGAACATCAGAGGATGAAGGAAATCATAGGAGATAAACTTCTCATCTATCCAATGAGGCAGATGCTAACCAAGAAAAATAATGCAAATGCAACCCTATGGCCATGTTAATCTTCAGGAATTGTTGCTTATGGGTCTTCTATAGCCACAGCTAAGGCTACTACAACTCTCATTTTGAGACTTATAGCAAGAAGGTAATGTTTAGCTCCTTATCTAACTCCCTAGAGACACATGTGTTCTGTGGTCTCCCAGATCATCCATTGCTTGGGGTAGCTTGTTGTTGAAAGAAGTCCCCTTGGCTTCGGTAAACTGAGGCAAACTGTGCCTCAAGGCCCAAACCCAGCCTGGGGTTCTGTTTTGTAAACAAGCTTGCACTGGATAGATGCCATACAGTCTTTAGCTGGTGACTGTGGCTGATTTTGTGCTGTAAGAGCAGAAGTGACTATGATGCTTACAAAGTCAAAAATATTTTCTTGTGGCCTTTGACAGAAGAGCTTAGATAAGTCTTGCCCCAAACCCTGTCTATCTAACTCAGTTGCTGCTCTTTTAGGGTTCGGTTCTTTGGCCTTCAAAATTTCTAATTGGTCAATGTTTCAGACAGAGAGGCATAGAAAACACAATAAATCCCTATGTGCCCATCACCAAGATGTGAACAGTATTGATACTTCTTATCTTTATTTTACAAGTCTCAATTTTGAAAAAACATATTATGAGTATATAGAGAGGCAACATTACAGTTCCCTCTCCCACCTCCTTCTGGATGTCCTCGCTGAGACTACCAGCACTCTGCCTCTGGTCTGCATCACACCATTCACTGCTTATGTTTCTGCTCATGTTTAATGCATGAGTATTGTTTGAGTGTGTGTAATAATAGTTTATATAAATAATACCACCCTCTACTTTCCATTTCAGAAATACATGCTTGAGACTTTACACCTGTGGGTACTTGCAGACATCTGTTCATCCCTGTGCTGACTATTAAAATGAATCATATATCCCATTTACCTTACTAAGGATGCTTCTGCTTGTCTTCTACAGTCAATGTTGCTACACTGCATGCTTTTAATATCTGTTTATTTATGCCTGCCTATTGCAGGTTATCTATCTATCTATCTATCTATCTATCTATCTATCTATCTATCTATTGTTGTTACAAGAGACATGGAGAAGTGCAAAATGCTGGATCACAGACTGTGCTCAGCTTCAGCTGGACTAGGTTTGGCAGGTTGCTTTCCAAGTGCTGACACCAGCATTCTTTTCCCAGGGTAGGATATGGGTCCCTGCAGCTGCATGTACTTGCCAACACTTGATATTAGCACAGATTACTTTTGCCTATCAGAAAAAAAAAACATGTGAAAGGATATCTTATGATTACTTTGCATGTTTCTGATTAGAAGGTCACATTGAGTTCAAACGCAGTTGTCCTCTCACTACAAAGAGACTAACTGCAGTTCAGTGGAAGGCAGAGAATTTGGAATATGGGGAGAGGTAATCTCAGAAGTCCTGACTGTAAGTCTCAGAAGTGTCATGTATAGACTCTGAAGTAGCTAGCAATCTCAAATCAAAAATATCAAGGTCTCCTGTGTGATTCAAGAATTTGAAATCTAAAGGGATTAATTTACGTTTCCAACTGACCTGTCTTAGGCCAAACTGACCATCATTTCATCCTAGGAAAAAATCCATTTCATCTGAAAAAAATCATATCCTGCTTTAAAAAAAAAGATTTTTCAACCAGAGGAAGAAAATAATGTATGGCTATGGATTTTTTATTTATGAGTATCAAAAATATCAATGGGTTCAAAGTTCTTAATCTCTTAAGTGCTGGGATGCATTCAGGCTACGCAAAGGAAGCGAGAGGCAATATGACAGCGGACTGTTAGATTCCATATGGGAATGGATGAGAAAACTCTGGCAGCTGTGACAAGTATAAGCAGGCATGGCTTCTGTTTAGGACCTATGCATCAGAATGGGAAGGCTAGTAATAGACCTCTGGGCCTTGAGCTTCCCATACATGGCCTAGCATGACTCACTGTTGGCTTCCTTCATAAGATAGTGCTAGTTATCACCCACTAGATCACATTACTATCAAAAGGAGAGTGAATCTGACATCAAGTCACTATCCAAGAAATCTCCTTCATT